AAAAATAAGCGGCCGGAATACTGGAAAGGCGCTTGAATAGTGTCACCGTTTTCACTACACTACCAGTACCGCTACGACTCACCATTTGCGACCCTATCTTTGAAACAAAAGACTGATGTTATCGTAATTTGGGCGCTACTCGGCTCGGGAGGGGCGAGTGGCCCATTCGCTGGTTTTGCTATTTTGCGTTAAACAGCTGTTCCCATTTTAGGGAGACCGTAATTTTGTGTGAAGCTGTGAAATGATATAAGTGAGCCATTTTGGCCATAAAAATTCGAACATCTTCACAAGGTGGTCTGTACAGGCTTCTTAGAGTACCATTCAGAGCTCCTATCTAGCCGACTAGGCCGTGAGAGTAGGTTTTAAGATTTCTTCCTCGGCGTATATTCACTCCTTAAACATGAATATCACGGTCGTTCAACGCGAAAACGCCTGGTGTCTTTTCAAAGGACAAACTATCAGCGAAAACAAATCCCAGCAAAATGAGGAAGTTAGCAAATGAATAAAGTTGCACTAGCTTTAAAAAAGCAAGGAAGCATTTCTTTCAATTAACTTTGTAAGGTATCAAAGACGATCCCAAGTAGGCCATAGAAATTGATTTCGTTCATTCATGAAGATTCAAAGATTAACAAATGGCCCGCCAAAAACAAGTACTACTGGGGATGGGGGTAGTAGGAGGGCGGATTCGAACCATCACTAGGGAGAAGTTTCGATAAATAGTAAAACCTTAAAAAGAGTCACGGAAAACAGAAGGCTAGAAAGATAGTTTCAGAAACAGCTAGCCTATCGAGCCCAGGGAGAAGGACGTGAAACAAAAGATGCCAAAATTGCCTCTGTCTATAGATTAACGAAGCTCCCGAGTGAACCAAGGCGCATTTCGGCTTGGTGGGGGCAACAAATGGTACCTGTGAATGAACCCTTCAAGGCCACCTGGTGAAGACTTGTGTGTTCTCGTTAATAATATGGCTCACTTGTACCATCTCGCCGTTACTAACGCCTATTTTTTAATGTCGAAATTTTTTCAGAGTATACGATTTTTTCAGGGTATTTCATGATCAAAGTGAGACCGTTAACCTGAAGAAATTTTTTCAGAGTATACGATTTTTTCAGGGTATTTCATGATCAAAGTGAGACCGTTAACCTGAAGTAGCAGAAGTGCACAGTGCCCCTCTCAAGCCATATAGCACCTGAACCAGTGCGGACAGCAAAGTTGAGCAAAGAACACGTAGTCGAATTTCCTCATCGTGAAATAGAATGGAAAGCTTCCCTGGGAGCACGAAACTTTTTTGAAACCACAAAAACGATAGAAATGATAACGAAATATCAGGTAAACGGATTTTGTGCGTAATGTCATTTTGAGCCTTAATTTTCTTGCTGTTATGACTGCACAAAGAAACCCGGAAGGGGAGAAAGGGGCTTAAAATCGTAGAGTATACAAAGCTCAAGTGCCAGATGCTCGATCAGTAGTGCAATGCTTCGGCTAGTTCCTGCAGCATTTCCTTGGGAAAAAGATCTGTCGAGAAATTTGATCATGGTCGTAAAGTAAATGGGAAAGGAATTAGCTGGTAAACGACAGGTCGTCATAGAAAACCTAATAGTTAGTTTTGATGGCTTTAACTTGTTATCCGAAGTGAGGGTAACGCTTTTAGAGCACCTATCGCTATTGACCTGCTCAGAAATAACTATGAGAAATTATAAGAAATAACAATATAAAGGAAGAGCTCACCTTGTGACCTCGCTCAAACAGCTGGACCAAGAAAATGCGTGCAACACCCCGTAGGTAAGCCCTGTTCCTGCAAGAAGATCAGATCGTCAGCAGCCGTTCGCTCTTTGATGTCGATGAATGCACAAGAAATAGCGCAAACACTACAGATCGCACGTGTGGCATCGACAAGAACTCTTCGACTCGGAAAATCAATGAGCAGACAGCTGATAGTGAAATCATAGCCACATCCTGTTCAGTTCATCTATCACGGACTCTCCTCTTCACGTCCAGCTTTACCAATCAAATGGAAAAATATGCCAATTAGAAGGGTACACGGAGAGGCCAACGCTCACGATTTTTCAGCCTCCATTACCTACCGAGGAAAGTTCTCAACCTCAGAACCGCCTAAGTGATCCAAATCTTCACTTGGATATTACAGCTTATAAAAGGATGAAGGATAGTCTTCACCATTAATCAATATTTTTTAAAGTACAGCGCGCATTCTTCCTCCATTCAAAATCGTAGTGGCTTATTGAGTGCGGTGTGACCCATACAATGGGGTCAACCGCCCCCGAAGGGAAGAAGACCTGGTTATCCTGGCGGGATCCGCAATTTGATCCTCGGACCATGCGGGTGGTAAGCGAGCCGCAACTACAGCCCACGGTGTCAAGTTATTCGTGTAACCAGTAAATCACGGCTTCATCTGTTTGCTTCAATGGGAAGACTTAAAAAGTGCTCAAGTTAGATTCAAGCATTATGATAAAGTGAGATTTCAAATAAACTCAACGAAAATTCGAGCAAAAGCGCACTTTAATTCTTTATAAACCAATTCTAACGGCCCTTCTACAGTAACAATGGGCAAAACTTCAATAATTCCCCCCCCCTCTCCCTCCCATCGCGCTGAGGAAATCCCATCGTACGGCGAGCCCTGCTTCCTTTCCCACTAGCGCCGACTTATGGCTGAATACAGCGGATTGGTTTGTTCTGTCATGATACTCTGCGAACTGCAGCTTAGCGCAACAGTTCGCAACATGAGACCTGTCATAAGGCCGCTGGGTTATGGGTTATACATAAGCTTCAGTCGTGTCAGGGTTCAACTTTGGTCCTCATGTATCCATTTCCACCCATGCACGGGAAGCTGGACCCCTGACTTAAAGACAGTTGGCACGATGGTTTCCTACTTAGCCTAAAATGCTAGTAGGGCGCTGTATAGTGGGGAAATGGCGAAAGAACGGAGTGAAACGGTCAAAATCCTGCGAAGAAAAAGCCTCCGTTCTCAGTGTTTGAAATCCAATTTTGGACGAGTTTCCCGTAGGCATCTTGCCAATCACCGCTACCGAAGGTACGGCTGCTATGTGTACCCATGTATGCATGCAGCATCACGGCCGCTTCATACCAATCCCTTCGCTTCATATCGTACTTCGCAAATGAATGATACGAGCGTCAGGAACGGTCGTCCATTTGTGGGCGGGCGGGCGTGGCGGGCGTTTGGGACGTAAAGTTGTGGCTTGATAGGGCCCTTATAAGGGCACCTTCCTCGGGGAAACCGCTATGCAGCGCCTGCCCAGGGTCGCGGAATTCTATCCTGCCAGGAGTATTGATCCTAGTCGTCTTGGGGATTTATCGTGCCAACTGCCTTTAAGTTTCTGACGGCCAAAATGTTTTCCAGTAGCTCAAGAACATTATGGTAACTGCTGCTTTGAATTGTTCCAGCAATTCCCCGTGTATCCCCCGTCATCAGTCGACCAGGCGCCGGTAACCCATTGGCCGCATTTTCACTCGCGAGCGCTACGGTCATAGCTCTTAAATGCCGGAACAAACTGGCAGCCTAAAAACTAAGGCTACCTCGCGCTGGCACCACGATTTGAACCAGGGCTCACATCCCACTCAGGCCAGCGTAGCCCTGATTTCTTCCAAATATACCAAACTCAACGCACTTCCTGTTACTGGGATCGCTAGTAAAAACGTTTTGTTAACTTCGGACCCCCATTTCCCTCCACTGATACTACCCCCGCCCCCCGCAACGCCACCTCAATTCGGCCCATTCTACGCCACACATGCATCGCCAACTTTTCTTGACAGTTCGACGAAAATTTGCCCAAAAAGCTGACCATCGACGCGCAACACACATGAGACGAAAGAAAAAGGGAAAGCCAACAATTGGAAAAAAATTCACGTCAAATAGCCTCGCTCGCCATAAACGTAAATAAATACGACAGACCTGGCGCTGGGATTTTTCCGTAATATGACGTGCACCGCGAGGACTGGTCTGAGATACGGTAAGACACCTGATGTTGGCTTCAATGTGCATTTTGTGCCATAATATTTCAGCCGGAGGTGGTGTAGTTGGAAACTCACGCCGTTTTCCAGGCTCGTGACCCAAGGTCCAATTCCCGGATCGGCTCCTCTCAGGCCAACGTGGCCCTCCATTCTTCTGGGGGCGGTATTCAAGACCAGGGTGTCTGGCAGGACAAATACATAAGGGTGTTTTTATAGCTCATATTTGTGGGTCAAAAGTCATATCGCATTCGAGAGTAACTGCGACTCTGAATGGAAGTAGAGCGCGGCGCATCCCAAAAGCGACCTGATCGACAGTGGAGACTTTTTTGAATTCACGGCTCCCGCTACTTAATGTGTAAGCCGAAGAGCCCTGCCAACACCTCTGCGATCTTAACCAGAAGACAAACCCATGGCGCATAGGAATATATCCCATGAAGCATGAGCTCTTCTCTTTTTGCCCTTGTTATCCGACCAATCTTGCCATTCAAAAATCAGACACAGACCGAATAATATTATTTACCAGATATTAAAATGATACAACATAATACAACTGTATACGCGACTCAGATGGCATTAAAATTTATTTATGTGTAAGCGTGTGTAATTAAAAAGAAGAAGAGTAGCATACACACACCGCATAAACGCCTAGGTATGACCATGTGGTTCAAAGCGAGTGCAATCATTAACAGTTACAAGAATAATTGGGGGGGGGATTCATACGAACCTAGGCGAGCGCATCACCCAGACTTCGACAAATGTGATACGAAAAGAATCAGAAATTCAGCATTCTCTCATCTTGAATAGAATAAAATGTAATAAAAAGAAACATCGTCAAGAATACTTGAATAGTACACACTAAGAACACACCACGCTGACGTTTTTGCCAGTAAAACGGTATTCTCATCAATCATTCACAATAACAAGGAGGAGGTTTGAGGTTCAAAATTCGAAACTAACTAAGGAAAAACCGGACGACCGTTGGAAGTGGGATAAAAATGTATAGATATCATCAGGCCTACCGAAGTTTGCTAGCTCGTTGGTACAATGCATCTACCACTTCACCCATGGCGTGTATCGTTTTCAGGGCCGTTTCGTATGTGACATCTGGAGGAGATACGTCATAGACGATCAACATTCCATCACCTTGATGAAGAGATCCACTGAATTTCCGATCCAGTATCATCTGTGACAGTTTCTTCTCAACCTGAAAATGATAGCTTGGAAAAGATAAAAGTACAAGATAAGGGAATATCCTCTGGATAGAGATGGTTTTAGAGTTTTGTCGTTGCAAGGCTCTTTCCCCAAATTCAGCATCTCGGGGAAACCACGAATATATCCATCCTCAAAGACAATTTCTAGGCTTGAGTGAGATTGGAAGTGCCTCCGCACATGCGCTAGCCAGGCCGCATTCGCTGTGTGTGTGCTACTTTCATAACGAACGTGAAGTTTATGTATTTAGAGACGCGTGAGCTTTTATTACTTTGACGTTTTCAGACCACAAGATCGATTTAAACAGCTAGTTACCGCAACTTCATGTTTTCTCCGCTGAAAATGGCAGCGTGTCAATTTTTGTGAGTCATGAATCGTTCTGCTTACCGTGGATACAGCTGCGAATGTTTACTACTTTCACTGCTGAAGGGAGCGCGGCAGTGAAGCTACAGGCTTACGATACTTGGAGTTCCCCGTATATCCAACCGCCGTTCGATACTCCTCAAAGCGCTGTATGTGCTCTCCGTTAGCTTGAATGAGGGCGGTGAGGCCCTCTTCGAGGAGATTTCAAATAGACAATTAGATGTAGTACCTGACATCACCTTTGAAAGGCGCATCATCTGCTTTTGTCAGAACCGCGAACAGAGAGCGCGCGGACGAACAAGCATACGCCTTGCGGGCTATTGGAAGGAGACAAAGATAAGGAACATCAAGGTAACACCCTACGTCTAGCTTGATTGTCTGCACTTTCTGTGGAGGTCACATGTGACCCGAATTAATTTTTTACGGTTGATTTTTCCCGTTATGCACATCGTTGGGAGTCCGGCAATGGAGAGAACAGTATTTGATCAGTGGGATCGCGTCTACCGATCCTCCCCCTCCCGCACGCTCGACTTTTGGAGCAGCTTTTTTGGAGAGAACTGGTAGCAAGTTGAGAAAACGTAGAAAAATTGCTGATAGGTTAAGAGAAAGGATCGTACCAGAAGAGAAAATTTCGGAAGTTGCGGCAACTTCGCTATTTTACACATAACGATTGTGGTACCCTGGGTGGGAAAACAATGCAACTGTGGACCTGTTGAGTTTGCACGCAGGAAGAACCCCCCTCTCAGGTGAAAGGTGAAATCAAAAGCAACGATATAGTTGAGAAAAGCTCGATTCAATTGTTTTTACATACTTTTGCCTTGGAAACCAACTATTGATTTAAATTGAAAAATCCGCTACCGCACAAGAATCGGATCCCCTATGTAAACAAGAACGCCTGGAAGTGTCCTAGATACCTTCATGACACCTCCCAGCTAGTCAGCTTTGATGGCTTTGTTTTGTGCAGACGAGACTGTTAGTAAGAACTTTTATTGATGGCCTGAAGTTTCATCCAGATCACCCCCATGAGACTGAATGTGGTTTAAGGTTCAAGAGCAGCCCTCTCTGAGCCATAAAGTGGCTCTTTTGCCTGGCGTTTTCGCCGAAACATCAGAAAAACAAAAAAAGTTACATCTGTCAACCTCAAGATAACCATCGAAACTGCGTCACAACACCCACGACTGACCTTTTCGCGATCGATACCAATACTGTTGGCAATGTGGTCGATTTGAACGTAGGAGTAGGGTTCAATGATACGGCACAGGTCCTTCTCCAGCATTCGTTCACTGAGGGAGTTGAAATGTTTGCGAACGACAGGATCCATCTTAAACCACATAGATAAACAATGAAAAAGAAGTACTATTGGTCCTAGCGGAACCGAGAAAGTCACCTGTAGCTCTTGTGGATAGGCTCCAAAGGCAGTATTGAAATCTGCTAAACTTCTCTTCTTCGCAGCTGCAGCAATAGCCCGCATTGCATCCAAATCCGACCCGGAGTACTTCAGCGCAAGCTTACCCGTTAGTAGTGTATTGACGTCATCAGGTACATCAAGCATTACCTAAAACGAGCCATTGAAAACTCGCCGCCTTAATTTCAACGAAACTTGTTTGAGAATCCCACCTTACATAAAAGCATATACTTCAGAGACAAAAGTGCCAAGCTCTTTTCGTCAACCGAATCGTATCCTTCGAAAGCCTCATAGAAGTACGAGAACGCTGTTTTAAAGTCTTTCTCGTCTGCAGCATGAAGAACGCCGGACTGTAAATCCAATGCGGCCTGAAAGAGAATTCCATAGAAGCGCCTTCGTTTAGATTTCAACCGATTCTCGACAACCAGACCTCTGAACCTTCAAAACAGGCAAAAGTTAAAACCGCATACTCGCTTGGCGTATTACTGTACTGGGGTAAAACTAAACAAAATCGCCCTCACAGTCAGCCCCCGAGCGGTCTCTGTGCAACCCTAGCTCACAAATCTCTCTATCACATCTCGCAGTAGTTGATATCATCCAGTGCAAAAAAAATACAAAAAAACAACAAAAACGCAGAGGAAAAACTCTTGGAAGGAAAAAGAATTTTAAACTCGTGTTCGAATTTGGGTTACGTAGCGCACATTTTTAAGTGTAGCCTAATGCGTAGCTTTTGCACCAAGAAATTGCGTCTCATTCGTGGTTTTTACGCGTATTGAGCCTAACGGGATGGATTTGATCAGTTGTATTTCTCCATGAAAATAAAATGGATGAAGAAGCAAATTATTCATGGCCTGAGCGGGTCAGCAAAAGTAATTTAGCTTATTCGATTACTGCCACTCGTCCAAAAGAAAACACTGATGCCGTCCTCAGTCAAGGATCTAGCAAGTGAGGCGGTCCAACTGGGCGAGAGTTAAAAATGGAAACTTGAGGCAGTCTAGTAGCTTCTGCTCCCACATATCACTGTGAGAGTAGCAGAGTGTGACAGGATCTAGTTTGGGATGGGTGAACTACTGCACAAGGAAGAGACATGTATGACGTTTTGAGCGGGGGGTGTCTTTAAAATCGGGGCTCGTTCGTCTACAATCTGGGATCGAGAACTTTGTATGTTTGCCGATTGTATGAATATTCGCGATTTCTAGCGAAACGCCTCAATTGCAAGACTCTACTATAATTGCAAGTATAACGGCTGTCTATAATAAAATCAACGAGAAGACCATACATGAAAACATACAATTTTTCACCATGAAATATCAATTCGCTACAGAGTCAATACTTCGAGAGAGCCACATAAATATGAAGAAATCAATCACCTGCATCCTAGGCTGCACATATATGGCATTCGCAGTGGTTCGAGCTCCAGTCAGCGATGCTCGTGCTCTACCAATGTTTCCAAGATGATAGAAAGCTTTTGCTCTCTGCAACTCACACTCCACAAAGGAATCACTTATGTCAAGTTTTTCATTCCGGAAGTCGCAGCTTAAAGAGACCATAACTCATCTACACTCAACTACACTTCATCAATAGGTTCCACAGAAGACAACGGATATTATCCTGTTTGGGTATAAGGCCATTTATACATCATGCTCGTAGACACATGCGATATGCGCGCGAAAGCTTACTTGGTACTGCAACAATTTTTTGGCCATTTTTTTGATATATTATACCTAAAGTGATTTTTGCCGAAAAATTAAAAGACGTTAATGCGCTACAGCCAAAAATTGGGTAAAAAAAGTAACTACAGGAAACCCAGTCCTTAGTGGAAAGAGCCTGTGTATAATTTGTGAGATCATTGAACATCGGATTAAACAGCATCGATTTGACGAGAAGATGTGCGTCGATCCATCGCCTCCTGTAAATTCTCGACTGTTCAAAATCTGAAAGAGAACTCAATATCTCAAACCCTGTGACAATTGTCAATTATGAGGACACAGTTTTCAAATCAAAGCACTGGAAATCGAATAAAATGAACTTGAATGTACAATTCTGATCATCAATCATCAGACACAAATCAACCAAATTTCGTACAAGTTTAGCTGCTTTGGCTTTCCCTAGGGAGACAAGAAATGGACGAGTTTGTTCAATCATCTGAAAGTAGGAACGATAAATTGAAGAACGCCAGGTACATTTCAATAAAGTAGAAAAATAATGAGGTTGTCCGTCTTTCTTTCCTATATTTCAAGACTATCTCTTTGACTTATGCTTGATGCACTGGAATCTCAAAACTCGAGTAAATTTCTCAAGAGGAGTTCACCATGGAGGGGACATTTTGCACATTTGCTACTTTCTTTTGTTAGTTCGTCTAAGCTGAAAGGTCTCAATCTGGTCGGAAACTCTTGCGAAGCTGCGAAATTGTGCAACAGCGCCACTCGGGACCGGGAATTTCCGGATCCTCACAAGGTGACTTGTACGTTACATAGGCGAACTCCATTCGCTCCCTCCCCCCAACTAAATCGCATTGCGCACTTTCTCACTTCTATAATTCTACTGCACCTGACAATTGCCTAAAACTACCCTTGAGCGCATTGTTCCGTAGCCAGAAGGCAGGGTACAGCATCGTTGTGTGAAGAACAGGGAGGGGGTGGGTGGTATTTGAGTCGTTGGGAGAGAGAAGGGTCGCATGTGCCTTTGAGAGTGATTTGCCGCATAGGTGTTGGGGAAGCGGTGGGGGGGGGGCGTACCGAGACCCTCCTCCAAGGGGGAAGGGTCGTACTAACATCCCCTTTCAAAACATCACGATATTGTACCCTGACAGGAGCTATTCATCCCAGCCCACCGCTTACCAGGCCTAAAACTGCTCCAGAGCGCATTTTTCACGGTCAGAGCGGATATTGCATATTTTGCCTGAACGCAGGAACTTCCATGACCCTCTAGCATATTTTAGACTGTCAACAACTATAAAAGGCTTCTTTCACAGTTGTTATCGATCTTTTATCGTTTTTTATGTATATTTATTCAAGAAATTTAATGTTCTGCCAAGCTCTTCAGCGCCGTCTTATAGTGTTCTAAACAAATAAAGAAATGTTTGAGAGATCGCAAGCGTGCTCAAAGCGATAAAGTAAAATAAACATTAAAACAGCTATTTATGCACTGTAGAATTCATATGACACTCCAAAAAAACCAAGTCATACCTTCCTCAGCTCTTCCGTCTGTTTATTCTTTGCCAACATATTTCCAAGTTCCATGATGGACTCCTCTTTCTTCTTAATGTCAGCATCACCTGACGCGGGTGTTTTCACTAAAATTGTTCTTGTTATTGAAAATTCCACCATTATAGCTATAACTCCACCTAACTTCGGATTAGCATACTAAATGGTCCGTGTATTGACCGCAATGCACTTTTTCCACCTTCGGCTTTGCGCTTTTTCGGATTGTTTCCAATACACTATCACTGAACCGGCTCACCACGGATGATGGCAGAGATGGGATTATTTTTTGAACAAAAAAGCAGGTGTTCGTGGTCCATTGGCATTCTTTCATTCTCTTTGTTCCTATATTTCCATTTTTTGGCGTTTTTTATA